ATATATATACATACATACATACATATATCAATCATATCTTGAGGATCGGACTTAAGTCTAAACACAAATTCATTTGTTTCCCAGACACCTTTATACATAATCTGAAGGTGTTTCTTTGGACATGGGATACTAAATCTATAAAATTTTTGTTTCCCAACAATGGAACAAACACAACATTTACTCGTCTACAGCCTGCTTTTCCAATAATCAGCCTTGCTTAAGATGGCTTTGCTTTTCATCATTCTTGCCTGCTTTGTATAGCTACAGAATTGAACGAAGGATCATGACCGCAACATGCGCCACTAGGAGCTGGTGTGAGGGGTTCGTGGAGGGGCCCTGATGGAAGCTGAGGAGAACTGGGGCATCCTAGAAAGAAGAACCAAGCAGCAAACCAAAGAAAAATCAGATGGAGTCGAGACAGAAGGATTTGTCTTCCAAACCAGCTCTAGAGAGAAAGGCCTTACAGTGTAGCCCCACGTTGAAAGCTTAGCCTACAGAGGCTAACAGGGGACTCTGAGCCTCAAGTGAAGAAATGGTTCAACACACAATGAGTGTCTTAAAGATGTCTCTGGAAAGCTTGGCCAACGTCTGAGACTCTGCAGACTTTACCCTGGAAGCTGAGATGCTCTGGGTAGGGGACTATGACATGAAGGGCATCCTCCTTGAAACCAAACAAGGCAGTGAAGACGAACTGGTCGACCTGGACTAGAAGGCACAAGGTAGGATGAAGGAAAGTATACACTTCTACTATAAAGCACTGCGCTAAAGATACTTTGTGAAGGCAGCTTGTGCTGACTCACCTTGTGTTACACTACCCAGAGTGGGGAGAAAGGAAAATGGCCCCAACCGCTGGGAAGAGAGAGGGAAACATCAACAGAAGCACCACAAAGTCACCCTTTTCCCTCAAAGGATGAATAATGGTACCCATGAATAAGGTAAAATGAGGCAAGATTTCTGTAACTGACCCAAGTGTACCGTACAGACCCTCAAATTTCTTTTTCCGGAAGTAAATTTGAGTCTTTAAACTGGTAATGCATCCTGGTGTGGTATGATTCATTGGAGGGATGAGATCATGAGAACTGAGCAGCCTGTTTTTGTTTTTGTTACCCAGGATCGAACTCAGGACATTGTGCTTATGAGGCAGGTGGTGGAGCCACTGAGTGAAAATGCCGGCCCAGCAGCTTCTTTTTGAAGAGCCTTTCTGTGTAACAAAAACAGAAGTCTCACCCAGCCACGCACACCTCAGTGTGAGTTTCGCCACAAACCACCCTCGCAACCCCCAGTACAAACATACCTCGTTCCCATCAGCAAAAGCAGCAACACATGGAAATGAATAGACCCTGAAAAACATTTCACAGTTAAAAAATATAACAGGAACGGACCTCAAATATAACCCACAGACAAATATTTGTAACCAAGGTGCACCACAGGTCTCATGGAGTATGGTAGGGCGGGCTTCAAGCTTGCAAGTGGAGATTATTAACTGTGGGCAGATTTTAAATCTCTACCTGACCCTCTATAGGCCAAGCTCACTGATATTATAACTCAACCAAATGAGCTGACAAGATTCCTAACAGAGTAAACTTAGCAAATGCTGTTTCATCGAGAATGTGACTCTCCCTAAGTCCATAATGTGCATATTCCCAGCGGTCTCAAGCCTGTACAACATTCCTCTCCATAAAGTCTATGGACTCTCTAAAGGATGGAGGATGACAGATGGCCCAAATTTCAAAGAAATATGCTGGCAACAGTTAGGGATAATTTGTAAGCACACGCAAATGAGCCACTAGGCAGGGAGAGTCCGATCTTCCCATGTTTCTAGTTAATGAACTACTCAGCTGTATACAGTAAAAGATGGATCCTATGTTCTTTCCTAAAAGGAACCTGATCCTAAACATTCTTTGATGAATGTTATCACTATGTAGATTTAAATTCTACCAATAAAGTAAATAAAATATCAAACTTTTCCAGAATACTCCTAGTGCATAAAATAATGGCCAGAGAGACATCTTACCTTCTCTGGTCACCAAGTCTGTCATTGAGGAGATTCAGAAACCTTCGACTGTCCTTCAAAATAATGCAAACTTTTTATTTAAAAAAAAAAAGGAAATCAAAGTGTCTGATTTAATACTATCTTTAACAGTACACAGAGGCCAATGTTTGCTTCTACTTGGTCAAGATCCAGCATCACCAACTGGCTTCGCAAAGACTCATTATTTTATATGAACAATACCTTATGCTACAGTGCAAAGGCTCCAGGCACACATTTCTGGAAGGAACCACCCCCAACCCCAGCCTTAGATTTTCATCTGGAGAATACTTAGGTCCACAAAAGCTTAAATGGATGGTTGTTTCACTGGGTCAGAAAAATAAGCAAGAGAAACACACCTGCTGATCTAGCACACTATGCTTTGGCCGTCAGCCGTCCACCTTCCTCATGCCCATACAGCACAGGCCAACCACATCCCTGCAAAATGTGGCAACTGGGCAGGATCTGATGGGGTGTCCCATGGCCAGTTTTCCATTTGGGGGGTTCTCCATGCCCCCCTCTCTTGGCAGAAGCGCTAAGAACAAACCCCTGGTGGAGTTCTCCCAACCAACAGCCTTCAGGATGGTGAATGTTGCCACCAACATTCAAAAGGCGAAGAAACCCAGGTTCAGGCCCTTGCTTCTCTTTGTTTGTAAGGCATGGCCAGATGCTCCTAGCAGTGTGTCTCAATTCAGGGCTCAGCAGACATCGGCAGTGTAAGCCTTTCATCTAAAAGCCATTCAGTTAACGACTTGATGGCTCTGGGGCAGGGATTATTTTGGAAACAAGATAATTTTCACTATAATTCCTTGTAGATGTGAGAATGACACAGAGGAGAGGAGAAAACTAATATCTGGGTGCTCGCACATCCCAGACTCTTTCTCTTATTCTCATAATTTTATTCCCATTTTGCAGAGAGGGACACTAGGGCTTCACAAATCAACTACTCTGCTAAAATGCCCTTAAGTCAGGGAGCTGGGACACAAACTCACGTCTGGGAGAGCCCCAAAGCTCACGATTTTCCATAGATCTGGCTAAATACTATTTTGTGGCAGTATCTCAGTCTGAGATAAATGCAAAGGTTCAAATTTAATAAAATCTGAAACACTGGTAGTTTCGATCAGAAAGTCTTTGTCAACCTGGGCACTATTATAAATTTTGCCTTTTCTAACCCTCATTTTAGAACTCTTCAAAAGAAAACATTTTAGCTATTCTAGGATGGAGATAGATACAACAAAGCTATTTTTGCACTACCTGCAGACACCATCACAGTAAGCCTGGCTGCACCAAAGGTAGTGGAAAGTATTCTCTAAAGTGTAGAATTTTCTGGCTTGCAATACAACCACCCCACAATACCAAGCCACTGGAGAACACCACGCCCCTGTTAGCATATGTCATTGTCACAGCTGCTCTCTGCAAGGCTCAGAAGCTCTTCTCCAACTTTTTCTTATCTCTTTAAGATCTATAAAAGATTGTTCCACCCATACACTTTTTAAGTGAATCCTTCAAAGTTAAATTTGGCCCCCAGTCTCTTATCTCTAAAGAAATTTATCTATATTCTTCTACTTGGCCCCCAAGTATTCTGTACACATTGCCGGGGAACAGGAAGTCAATTTAATCACATTGGAAAAAGAAAACCCTCCCCTAACCCAAACACAGGAAAATCCCGAGAAGCTGCTACAGAAATACTGACTGCACAGGACTCACTGTCTCAAATTCTCGATCCTTAATTTCCTTGAAACCTTCAGCAAGGATGTCATCATCGAACCACTGGTGCACAAGGTCATTCCTTGATGTTCTAGTTGTCATTCTACACAATGCCTCAGAAAGAGCAACCTGCTGGTCATAATCTAGACATTAAAAATATAGCAGACAGATAATTCCAGGCACCGTGCAATAGAAAACCCGAGTTACAAAGCTAGCACCTGCTCTAAGAAATAGATTAGCACTATATTTTATAAGCAGCAAGATGTATCCTGAAGTACCTATAATCATGTATTTTTAAGAATTAAGAGAACAATCCACATAGTAAGTCAGCACATAACAATTTTTCAAAATACATATTTCTGTGTTTCTATTTTAAGCTTATGAAATATCAAATTGGATCAAACAGCCTTAAAAATATTTCTACCACAAAAGTCAATTCCCAACATAGCTTGTGCTACTTCACAGCAGATAAATTAAAACTACATGTATCCATATGTTCAGATATCAATTCATTTTAAGGACAAAAGGGAGTTGTAACTGAATATATCCAATTTGATGGCATTTATGAAGTGCAATAAAAAATACGGTGAATATTTAAATTTTAAAATTACACTTAAAGACACACACATTACCATTTACCCTCTTCATAATATTCCTTCATTTGAACACACTCATTCTATCATCCTGTCACTTTCTGAAGCAGTCCTGCTTTGTGAGTATCTTTAGTTTTATTGTCATAGCTGCCTTGATGTCCTGAATGGATTCAAAATGGTTACCACTCGTGGCCATTTTGTCTTTAGGGAAGAGCCAGAAGTCACACCATGCCAGATCTGGTGAATAAAGTCGATGAGAACACCCATCATCATTTTTTTAGTTGACAGAAATTACTTGACAGAAATTGTCACAAGTGATTTGAATCCATTCAGGGCATCCAGGCACCTGCAATGGCAGAGACATCACAAAAGAGTCCTTCCAGAGCAGCTTCCAAAAGTGGCAAGATGGATGGGGTAAGTGTATTCAAAGCAAGGGAAAGCATGCTGGGGTTGCGAGGGGGTGGCAGCTTGTCTTTTACTGTAATAATTTTTTAAAAGTTTAAACATTTACTGTATTTTAAAATTTTATTATATATATAATGTGTTTAAAATCTGTAAAAATAATAAAGAATGCTTATGAATACATAGAGAAACAGTTTAAAATACATTTGGGAATGAAAATTACAAATCAAAGAGAAGGGGCAAGAACCTCATTTATAACGGATTTAAAACTTTTTCATTTTAAGCAAATATGGTAGAAATTCTAAAATTTGACAAAATTGGCTGGTTAATGAGCATCCAGTATTCATTATAGTTTTCAGCATGCCATAAAACTAAAACCTTAATTCTTTTATCTTTCATATGACCATAATTTATTCCCCATAGTACCAAGATGCTCATAAAACCCAGTGACAATATTTAATATTTTAAGTATTTAAACTCTTAAGTACTTCTTACCACCCACAGTCAAGATTGTCCTTGCAAGGTCTTTCCTGAAACATTAAGATAAGTTCTATTTTACTGAAATGAGCATCCAAAGGTAAAACAATCAGATATTTTAAAATAATTTTAAAATCAATATATGTGCTTTGAAATTATTTCATATTCAGCACTGAAATTTCTACATTGTCCATAATACATATTATGGGAACAATCTTTGAATATATGATCTACTGTATTTGTAATTTTTAAAATACAATGTATACTAGCTATAGCAATTATACATTTTCATATTGTATTTAACTTTCCACAAAGTGAATTTAACTTGATTTGTGGGGATACACGTAATGGTACAATTGTGGTTTTCTAAGCATTCACCTCAGCAGCCTATGAACATGGGTGTCCTTTTACATAGTTTGACACCTGGCTGAAATGAGACCATCTTGTGGCCATCTTTCATAAGAGCTGTTTGGTATCAAGCTGATTAGTCTTAAATGTCATATCAGAGCTTGGCGAGGTGGTGCACACCTGTCCTGTAATCTCAGCACTTGGGAGGCTGAGGCAGAAGGATCACTGAGTTTAAGACCAGCCTGGGATACATAGTGAATTCCAGATCAATCTCAACTACATAGTGAGACCCTGTCTCAAAAAAAAAAAAAACAGTCATATCAGATAGAATGGGATTAAGCTATTACATTATATATTCATTTCAGGATTTCAACTAAATACAGGTAGGATTTCAATTTTTTTCCTTAATACATGAAAACCTCCCATTTTAAAGAATAGATCTAAGCTATGTTATTTATTATTTTTTTGGTACTGGGGATCAAACATGGGACTTTGTGCTTGTGAGGCAGGCAGCAGAACCACTGAGCTAAACTTCTGGCCCAAAGCTATGTTACTATTAACACAAGTCTTAAAACAGAACCACGGAGAGTTTTGTATAATTTTATGCTTGCTGATTGTTAACCTTTGACTTGAGGTCCAGAACATTCTAGACTTTGCTGGAAACAAAGTAATATGACCATGGGATTAGTGGGAAAAATCATGTCAGCCACTCTCCAATTCTAAATACACCAGTAAGAGTAATGATTTTACCAATGCATTCAATACATATTTTAATTCAATGGAAAAACTGCATCCTGCAAAGACAAGTCAAATGGAGAAACAGGATGGCAGTGAGCTCCATGCTCACCATACACCTCTTTTAGGCTCTGGGCTGTGGTAAACCCTCCCTGGCTGTGCCTGAATGCCACACAGTGATGGTTAGTACAGTTACATGTTTAGGTTCAAATGTCAAAATAGGGTGTTTGCTTGGTTACATATTACAACATTACTACCAAACTTCATGCCTGGCAAAACTATGAAACTTCAATTGGTCCACCAACCCCCCACCAAAATCCATCATTTAAAAAGCAACACAAGGGCTGGGGATTTAGCTCAGTGGTGCCACTGCCTGCCTAGCAAGCACAAGGACCCGAGTTTGATCCCGGGTACCAAAAAAGAAAAAAGCAACACAAGTTTCATGCCCTTATTGTTTCAGCTAACAGCATTTACTTACCACACTTACTTTCTGCCAGGTAAAGGACTGCTCACCCTAAATGGACTGCCTCATTTCACCTTGATGGCAACTCTGCCGAGTAGGTATTACTGTTCACTCCGTTTCACAGACAGGCAAACCAACTTACACTGAAGCTAAGGTTGTGTTCATGTGCCACTGTTAGTGGCAAAACCATGACTTGAAACCAATTGAGCAGCCCAGCTTGAGGGTCTGTGCTTCTCACATTCCACGAGCCACAATTGTGGTCCACACGCATGGTAAAAAAAAAAAAAATCTGTCACCTAAGAAAGGCATTTTGTCTCACAAATTTAATGTAAAAATCAAAACAAAAAACCCACCCTGTACTACTGAAAAAGAAGAGCCTAGACAAGTCTACATTTTGTCCCAAGTCCTTGTTCACTGCCTGGCTCAGTGCCTGCGCCCTAGTAGGTGCTCAAAGCAACTACTGAGGATAGCTCTGATTATTCAGATCTAAGGAGAATGGAGTCGTGTAACCGAGAGATTTCGCCTTTACAGCATCCCCCGGTCGCGTGCAAGGCACTTACATAAGATGGAACACGCCTTCTGCTGACGGGAGCCTTCTCCTCTCCTGCCGAGGTACTCCTTGCAAAATGCTGTTCAAAGTCCTCAGAGCCTTTTGGGAATTGGAGAAGGCATTCAGGGGAAGAAACAACACGGTCCTGTACACCACTGTCTCTGAGGATCCCGAGCAGCACTTATCTATTTTGTTACTTGTAACTCACCTCCTGTTGAACCAAGTGATTTACAGCCTTTTCTGCTGTCACCAGGGAGCCTAAACTAAGTATGAAGGAATCCAGCATCTGAATTTTTCCTGCAAGCATAATTTTAGAAGATCAGATGTATGCCCAAAGAGGAAGGAAATGACCTCCAACCTGCAGGATGATGCCCAGACTACAAACCACAATGCAGCCAACAATTTAGAACAATATAATTTGGGCAAGGGACACATTACAGCCTGCTGCAAATTACACAAACCCCAGACTGCACAGACCGTGTTTCATAGATCCCCACTGAGGAGGACAGCAGCAGTGTATACAAAAGGTGACTACTCATCATGACGTCTTCAGGCGAGCCCCTTTTCTGTCCAGACAGAGCAACACGTCAAGCATGGCTCCTGAGATTTCCTGCTATTTCTATATACTTTCTACACGTGTATTTTATAAAAATCAAAATTGTGTGCAGAAGGTTATGCACTAACAAAGCAGGAATTAAGTGAACTATTACCCTTTAGTAATACAATCACAGCAATTTCAACAGCTATTTGTATGCCAGTAAACAGAGAAGTGGACCATGTGGTCTTATTTTATTAAATTATTTTTATTGTTTCATTTGCATATGTTCAGATACAAAATGACAACAGTCGGAGCATATACTGCAAAAACTCATAAGGTCATAATGTAACTTTGATAAGTCCAAATATGTAATTTTAGTATGAAGATTACAACAAACTATATACTTTGTAATCCTCATATAACTCGTAAAATTGTAAGGACCCAAACCAAGAAGTAAAAATGTAAAAGATCCCTCTTTTTATTTTTTTTGGTACCAGGGATTGAACTTGGTCCTTATGCTTGCAAGGCAGTCAGCAGAACCATTGAGCTAAATCCCTGGCCCAAGATTCCTCTTTTTAATCAAGACAAGCCACAGCAACAGGGCTAGATAATCTCTGGAAACCAGAAATTTGGCCAGAGTCTGTTGCTACACACACAAATAATAATGATAATAACAATAAACAGAACACAATTGAACAGTGTAAGACTTAAGATGTGTGTGTGTCCTATTAACTAGCACATACCATTGCATGCCCTTATTTTAAGAGTAGTACGATAAACAGCATATGGCCCCATGAAAGGCGGCAGAGGAACCTGGTTAATGAAGACATTGCAGAAAAGTGACTTTTGAAAATTGTTTACTCAAGAAGCTTTAAAATTTAGGCAGCATCTGATTCATCTCAAAATTCTAAAATACATGAACTATATGAAAAAGCAATTGTGCAGGAAAAGGCAATAGTCTAAAACAAAATAGGCACAGAAGAGAAAGGAATGTGTAAATAAAAACTAAAGCCATTGTAGATATTTCAATGTGATGGATTGAGACCAGAGGATTAGATACAAAGACAAAAGCATCTGGGAAGCCAAACTGGGAAAAATGAGGCAGGCCCAGGATGAGTATCAGCTAGATGCTATCTTACTCCTTTTCCTACTTTCTCAGGTCAGAGGATCAAAGAAAGAAGAGGTACTGCCAAAGCCAGGGAATCAAGGCCTCCTAGGAAAAGCCACAATAGGCAAACCAGGTGTGGTGGCGTAAGCCCGTAATCCCAGCACTCCAGAGGCTGAGGCAGGAGGATTGCTGTGTGTTCAAGGCCAGCCTGAACTACATATCAAGACCCTCTCTCAAAATAACAAAACAAAACAAAGAAACAAAAAACAAATGGGCAGAGCCACACAAACTGGCAGGTACCCCTGGAAATGTTACCGCGATGGAGGCAAAGTGAAAAATGTCCTATTTGCTGCCTCTGACCTCCAGGTTCTCACCAATGCCAGTGCTTTGGTTGACTAAACCCAGCGGGCTGCCAGTTGGCCACAGCACCTAAGGAAAACAGGACTCTGCATACCAAGCAGAGACAGAGAGCAAGGAGGGAGCTTGAGCGCAGATGCAGGTCATCACCAGTACCTATGGATTCCAAGGAAAAGAGATGCGATCCCAGGTTTGAAGTCTGCAAGTGAGAAGGATTAAAGTATTGCCTTCCAAAAAAAAAAAGCTCAAGGGGCCAGGGGTTCAGCTCAGTGGTTCCAGCTCCCTGCCCTGCCTTTGTCGAAATGTAGTATCATTTCATGATAAAAGTATAGGAAGATCTTACATTAATACAATAAAAGCTATACCAGAGCTGGGGATTGGGCACAGTAGTTCTGCCGCCTGCCTCACAAGCACAAGGGCCCGAGTTTGATCCCCGGTACCAAAAATAAATAAATAAAAGCTATACAAGACAAACTCAATAGGCAACATCATACTGAATGGAGAAAAACTGAAATCATTTCCTCTAATATTAGGAACGAGACAAAGGTGTTCACTCTCACTATTCTGTATTATTATGTACTAATAAAAACCAAAAATGTGATATATACACAATAGATTATTCAGCCATAATGAAGACTGAAATCATATCATTTACAGGAAAATGGATGGAACTGGAGACATTTAAGCAAAGTAAGCTGGACTCAGTCAATTATTGCATATATTTTGTCTCATGTGTAATCTTAAAAATTTTAAAAGATGATAAGAAAGTAGAAGGGAAACTACTAGAAAAGAGGAAGAGAGTCAGGAGGAGAGAGGAAGAAAGAAAAGGAGTTAACGGTGATGAAAATAAAGTGTGGTGTAAGCATGTACGAATATGAATGTGCCAAAATGAAGCCTGTGACCCCATAACTAGTATGGGTTGCAAAATAAGGGGGTGACAAGGGCCTGTCCTCTGCTGGGCTCTGAGGCCTGGCGGCCAATGGCATCACCATGGTGGGTGCACTGCAAAAGAGATCACACTGTCAGAGCAGGCGGCAACAGCCGACCACACAGCAGCCCACTCTCATGGGAACCGGTCCAGTCTCCAGACACCTGGCCTTAATCCCTTCATGTCGCCTAATCACTTTGCACTAGGTCCTGCCTCAGAGGTCCACCCCCTGTCACACAGCTTCCCTGCGGGCCAGGGCAGCACGAGAACCTTTGTGGGACAAATCACATCTAAAATGGAGCCCTAGACTTCTGCTGGTTCAGTGACAAAAACACCTTTCTACTACCTAAACAGAGGAAAGAAGCCAGACGGTGCCAGAGCCAAGTACACAGGCATCTGGACAACCTGAGGCATTCTTTTCAGTAAAATGCAATTCAAGATCACATACCATAAAGTGTTCAGTACATCTAATGTGTAAATTCGCCTACTCTTGAATATCATTGAAATATTCTTTTCTCTGCACCAAAATATTCTATTCATAAAAAGGTAATAGTTAATACTTACCCTTAGTACTACTCCTGGAAATAATCTAATAAAAAGAAAAAGCACACATCATATTCTTTGAAAACAGCAGAATAAGCTATGTCATCAATGCATGAACACCCATACACTCCAGTAGCCAGGTTTTTAAATCTTCAAATCCAGATGATTCAGAGAAAGCCTGAGTTCAATCACCTCATTGAAAAGAGCAGATCACCATCAAGTGAATAGCAATGCATGTATGTATAAAAATAAATTCATTTTTCTATCATATTGGTCATATAGTTTCATGCTTATTATGTCACATGATCTAATAACACATGGGAGCCTTTTAACAAAACTCATATCATAACCAAAAGTCCAGTCTTACAAATCGCTGCAAGACTCCTGCCCACTGCCCACAATAGCAGCTGCTCCACGGAGTACCCGGCCACACTTACCAGTGCAGTCAAGAAGAAGTCCTCTACGATGGGCGTCAGCACTGCGCCCAAGGTCAGGGCTTCGGGGCCCAGAAGTCCCATCGTCCTTTCAAACCAGGAAACCATGTACACAGAAGAAACACTGGTAAAAATCACATGGGACTGAATAACTACTTCCTGTTCTATAAACTTTCATGGGACAATTTTCTCACTAGAGCAAAATAATCCTGAAGGCCTTTTCCCCTCTCCGTAATATCTCAGTTAGGCCTGGCTCTAAGGCCTTTTTAGAGTCCATGCTCCAGAACCACCCTCAGATCTTAGCCACCAGCAAGAAAGAGGATCAAGAGGGATGGGTACCAGAAAGCCACGTGAAGAAGCTACAAGAAAAGTTGTTTTTGTTTTGCAGCACTGGGGATTGAACCCTGGGGCTTCACACTGAATTACATCTCCAGGCTTTTGACTTTTAATTTTATCTTTTATTATCCCAGGCTGAGCTCAAACTTGAGCTTCTCCGGGTTTTACGGGTGTTGATACCTTAGGTGTGGGCTGCCTCACCTGACGCTAGTGAGAGAAGTTTAAAAGATAAATTACCCCATTACAGGGAGAAATCATGTTGATCTGAGAAGCCATAGAACACAAATATCAAAGGACATGCATAATTCGGAAAGTGTTCCTAAGGTAGGCATGGTGACAGAAAATACTCCTTGGGGATGTCTTCTGCCAAAAAACAAATGTGTATACATTTTAAAGAGAAAGAAAAATTGTATATGCACAGTTAGGAATCACCAATTCAACTTCTCAGTGACATGAACTTTCAGTGAACAACTAACTGTGATACGTATATAGCCTTCAAAACAGGGGACACGGGAGCCAAGGACCCACAGCACTCCTGCTAAAGAACATAAACATTCAGTTCTCAAACTTGGCTGCACACCAGGAAAACCTGCCAATCAAGCTCCCTGGTGCTGGGTCCCAGGCAGTGCTCATTAAAGCTCCCAGGTGCCTGTACTGCACGGTATGGTCTCAGAGATGCTACTGTGCTCACGGTCACTGTTATCTCAAATCGGATGACAAATTCTGCATTAAATCATCCCCCTTCTAAAGCCAACTTTCCTTCAGAAAAAAAAAATATCTCTTTCTATGGAACTCATGGCCAAAGCCACAATGGGTCCATGAATTTTAGGTTTTAAGACCAAAATCTCGAGTTGCGACCTGAATATCGGCCACTTGTACTTCCAGATAGTCTGAGATACAGATTTCACCCTTAAAGAGCTCTGAAAGGAACATGACAACACCCTTTCCTGTGTGAGGTTAATGAGAAATCCTGGGCCAGAGTCTAAGGACACTGAGCTCTGCAGTACAGGAGAGACTCCGAAGGCTGTGTAGAGGAGCCTGAGTTTTCAATTGACCAACTTGAGTTACAACCAGCCCCTGTGAACAAACTGAGTTAGTAAGTCAAGGGCCCACTGTATATTTTTTCTTATGCTCAAATTGTCATGCTTTTAAATACACTGTCACCATTCCACTTGCTACCTCCAAGTCTACTGCCCCTCCCAACATCCCCCATGCCCCGACATATTGGAGGATGATAGATGTAGAAGGGTGGGAAACACCACCGTGGCTGATGGATCTCTGGGAACAGGAAGTGTGTGCTGAGGCCACTTATGTGCCAAAATAATGCATCTCCCAACAGGCACCCCTGCCATACCCACCCTCCAGTCATTACCGGAAGAGAGGCACATTAATAATACAGTGGAGACAAGTTGCCTGACCCTCCCAGATCTTAGAGTACAAAACTAAATTCATTTCTTTCTATGCGAAATTGTTTCTATGGAGAATAATTTCTAATCACACATTTGGGTTGAGCCTATCAACAATTGGCTATACAAAGTGCATATCCCAGTATCTTTTTCTCCTTGATATTAATCTGTTCCCCTTGCCCCAAAGGCTACATGAAATAACAGCATGTTTTAGAAGATACCTAATGATGGTTATGTAATTCCCATCACCACCGAGAATTTGGTTGTAATATGGAAACATTTTTTTTATTTCAAAATTCCTTGGAGATTTGATAGGACTTTTCAGATCTTGGGAAAGCATTCTTAGCTCTAAATAGATAAATTGGGCTGGGGCATAGTCCATCTTATACCCCCCACAATCAGTTTAAATTCCAAAGTCTCTTTCCCTTGCCCCATTTCAAAGTCTATGGTGTTCATTTCCTCTTCCTGTTTCCTGTTATCTGCATGAGTTAATATATCAAGGAGTTAAATGGCATTAAATGAAAAGTAAAAGCACAATCTTTAGAGTCCCCAACAAAGACTTTTAAAACCCTAAAGTTGAGTTTGAGAAAGCCTGGAATTTCTTTTTCTCTGAAAGTGTCAGACCTATAACTAGTAGAGGTTTGAGAGAGAGAAGGAGAGATCAAGCAAGATCAAGATCTCCTTGGCCCAAATTGGTCTTGATAAACTTCGGGGACTGGAGCCAGGGAGTAAAGCAAGGACCTTATCATTAGCCAGGTCACTCTTCCCCAGCCAGCCTCCCCTCTCACCAGCAAGCACCACCCCAGGGCTGCAAAAACCTCACCATGGAGGTTCACGTAAGAGATTTTGCAAAGGCTGCATGCTTCCAGATGCTGTTAATAAAGACAGTTGCAATGTTACCTCATGGCTGATTTTAGGAAAAAAAATTATAGAATGACTAACAAAATTTTTTTTTCAGATTTACCCAGCATTTAGAAAGTGAGAATAGTATAGAGTTATGAAGGCAAAATGTTTTAATGATATTTTTCTAGGTTTAATCTTTTTGATATGATCTATTAAAATAATGGGGATTACTCCTTATTTATTCTCTTTCCCAGTCAAGTTTGCCGAGATAATTTAAAGCATGCTGCTGCTTATCAGGGAGATGGGTTGTCCCTACCTAGATCCTACATTCTCAAGGTGTTCACTCAGCCTACACCTAGGAAACATGCGTTTAATTCCTGATTGGCGAGAAGCAATAAGAATGGATAGTTTCTCTTCAAGTTGACCAGTTCTGCCCGTTTTTGACATCCTGGGGGGATCCAATCCAGAGCGTGGAGTACGTGAGGCAAGTGCTCCGCCACCCAGGTGCCTCTCATTAAGTTACCCAAAGCCATAAAATTAAAGTGTGACACTTATCTTCGGGATCAGTCCCTGCTGAATTAGCAAGGGCTCCTCTTCTCCAAAAGCGTCTTTGACGAATCGCTGAACACATTTCAACAACAGTGAAACGTACTGAAATTCATTTTTATCCAGTTCCTAGATATCAGACCACACTAAATTAAAACTTTTATAATTATGCATTGCTTTTTAGTCCTAAAAAAACTCACTTGCCTTATTTACTGATCTGTCGAGATAGTCTAGTAGGAGATGATCATATTTTTGAGGCAAGTGGCTTTCTTTCTGTTGAAGATACGCTTGTATTTTCTGAAATCCTTTACCATAGAAGGCATCAGTAATCAGAGACTGAAGCTGGAAAAGTGATAGTTTGTGAATTACTCCTTTTCCCCCCAAGAACACTTCTTTTAAAATGATGCCAGCTGATATGATTGTCAGGAATAACCCAGTGTGGAAATAATGTAGGGGAAATACGCAACAGAACTCGAACTGTCAACAATCTCTTAAACGACTAAAGTTTCTGTTGGTTTTGGATGGTTCTCAGATCACTGGCTTCTCCTGGGGTCTGGCGGGGGCCCAGCAGTTTGGCCTGCTACCTGCTGCAATCTGGGAACCACCTTCTTAAAGAGAACTGCCCTTCAGGTAGGTATCAACAGATGAAGACACTCAGCAATTTCGCAAATTCTAAATGCTGAGAACTCAAGCCTATGGTCACTCATTGACATAAATTATAACAGAAGGAAGAGGAAAAATAATTACATAACAATACAAGTTGATCGATATGCAAATGACCATAGTGAAAAAATCTGACCTTTTCTACCTGAATATTAGACAAGATATACTTTTAAATATTAGACTGACAATTCTTAAATGTCTATTATGATAAAGAATATGAATTTTTATAAATCTAGCCAAGCCTGAGGGCTAAATTACAATATATAATACCATTTTTCTAAGAAAGCATTCTACTATACACAGCTCAAAATTCCACTTATTCTTACTACAGATTCCTGATTGGAAGAAGCACTTGCCGTTTCTCCACTTAGAATCATTTTGTCACCACATAACGGGGCTTTTTGAGCGAAGTGTGGTGTGTCCTGCACATGTCCCCACCCACCTCACCATACCCCGAGAAAGGACTCTTTCCCCAGCATAGGGACAGCAGGGGCGGGAAAAGTGTGCCAATATCCGTGACATCGCACCACGGTGCTCACACGTGGGTGCTCCAACTCAGAAGCCCATGGCTTCCCCTGCACTTGGAACAAATCCAAACCCTTTCTTCAGTCTGCAGGGCTCCGCAGGAGATGGTCTCTGGCAACCTCTTCAGCTTGACTTTCCAACTGAGCCCTGCAGTAAACCAAGTTCTTCCCTGCCTTAGGACCTTTGCACTGGCTGCAGTGTGCCTAGACTGCTGCTCCTCACAGATAAGGGCTGTGCGTGAGGGCTGTGTGTGAACTTTCCAGGTGAGTCTGTCGGTACCACTTAGCAGAAGTAGGCCAGGTGCTTCCTTTCACCACCAACTATTCTCCATTCCAACACCCTCTTCCTTCCTGCTCTCTCTTTGGTTAGTGGATTCTGTGGCTTGCTGCAGCCTGTAAGCTCCATGAGTGCAGGGCTGATGTGTTGGCTTGAGTACTGTCTAGTTCCACCTGGAAAAAGGATGGGCATAATATAGCTTCGAGTAGGGAATTAGAAAAGTTGGTGGTAAAATTGAATAGTCAAGGTAATATATTCAACATGGGAAGGAGATTTTTGGAAGAACAAACAAGATTTCTCTGCTGCTGAAGGAGCAATGGTCTGATTACCTTCTGAGAACACAGAAGTCGAAGGGACACACAGAGCACAAAATGAATGATCTTTACCCAGAAAGCATCTTGGGCCTTCCCAAATCCAGCATCTTCCTTAACAGACTGCAAAAGATCTTCGTTTTTCTGTATGCAATAAAAAGATTATTCCTCAAAAAGCTCTATTTCAAAAGAAATGCATTTTAATCACCCTCCAAAAGAAATTAAAATTTTTATTATTTTCCTGAAGAGAAAATTGTTTGCTTATGCCACTGATCACAGGTCTAAGATAGTGGGGGGAAATTCCACTTTTATCCAGCATTCTTTAGCATGGTCCACAATAACACAATCATAAGAAGTAAAACAACCATCATCTGAATGATTATCCCAATAAACTTAAGCTCTGGTGGTGATTATAATAGACGAAAGGCTTTGAATAAACCATGTTCAGGTTGAGAACTCACCAGTTAAATAAAAAGGATCTTTCCAGCTCAGCCATGCTTCTAAGCTTTAAATTTGTGACATAAATTTCAAACAGCACTCTAGGACGTATAAAAGTTCAATGATCAAACACCCACGGCCACAAAAGCAGCCTCCAGAGCATTTAATGAATTATTACACATTTTCTTCAAGAAAGCTTTCTGAGCCCCCATTCCGGTTTCCCAACACACAGTGCCACATTAAGTAACGGCATCCCATTGCCTGCTTTCATTCCAACAATTGAAAATTGCAATACACACAATTTTTTGTTTTGTTTTTGGTACAGTGGATCGAACTTGGGTCCTTGCACTTTCGAGACAGGAGCTGGAACCACTGAACTAAATCACTGGCCCACAAAATATTTTTTGAAACGACTTCTAAGTGTGGTTTGGGCTAACAATCGTGCCTCTCTGAACTTAACCAAAACCCTTAAATCTCTATATTTGACAATATCATCTTCATTTATAAATAGGAAAAACAGGGTGAAGTCAAGGACCATAATCCAGACTTTTTTTTTCCTTCTACCAGCAGAACAATCAACGAATGCTAGTGACTACTGAAAAGTAGGAGTTCAGGAGGTATGGAGACCCCCACTCGGCCTTAGAGCTGCCCTTTTTCTATTCTCAGCATCTGGGGATGCAGACCTGGGCCCTGAGAGGTGAGGTCGTCGCACTTTGGGTGCAGCCAGGAGGAAGCAGAGAGATGGGGGAGCTCACTCCGGGAGCCCTAACAGTAAGGACGGATTTCTGCTGTGTGGCCTTCTCACTGAAAGCTCTGGAACTTGGAGAACCCATCAACGCTCAAAGGAACCCCAAGACCTAACCCCTGCGCCTGCCCGTGGGGCCCGCACCTTCCTCCGGAGGCCGAGCCCTCAGTGCCCCCCTGAGGTCGGGGTCGCTCACCGCTCGCATCCCAGCGTCGGGAACTGTGCCTCGTCCGCCGCTGAGACGCCAACTGCCAGGGCGCAGCTGGCCGAGGGCTTTAAATCTCCGAGCACGGTAACTGAAGGAACCTGTTTCAGAAACCCGGTGTTTGAGATCAGCGTCCCTGGGCTGGGCCAGCTGGTCGCGCGCGCACTTTGCAAGAAATCGAGAAATTGGGAGCAAATTCTTGAAAGCGTCGTTAATTAAACCCAGAAGCGGTGGTTTTCTCCCCCGTAAACAGACCCAGGGAGCTGGTTTTGATCCATGATACGTGTTGGTCAGCTAGACTTGTACCTGAAATTATGAATCCGTTCCCGTTACCCTAAAAGAACGGACTTTGTTTCTTTCCTTTTTAAAGTACTTTGGCCAGAGGAGACAAATAAAAAGCAAATCGCTCTCTTGTGTTTTGTCCATTTCCTTTGACTTACCTTGTGCTCATGGCTACGCTGACTAGAATAGTAATCTCTTACATGAACGCGACACAAAAATTGGGACTGGAGTTTTCTTTAAATATAAAGAAAATGTCCCCTCAAATCCAAACGTAAAAAATTTGACTTGTAGTATAAGCAGAGCCGTATTTCATGCTGTGATATTCACAGAAGATACATTTAATACATGTAACAGAATCTCTGAGCTCCGTGTACCTCCAACCCCTTCACAACAACATTATTCCAGGCTAAATACAGTAATTCCGTTCATTTACCAATCTTAACCTATACCTAGAAAATCCAAAGATTTATTCCTTTCCTTTTGAATGGAGTCTTGCGATTTTATTCATTTATTTATTTATTATTGGTACCAGGGGTTGAACTCGGGACCTTGCAGTTGTGAGGCAGGTGATGGAACCACTGAGCTACATCTCCAGCCTGATTCTTGTGATATTAAAGTAGCAGCCAAGGCAAGGACAAATGTGAATTAAAATTATTGGGAATCAATCCAAATATTTGGGCAGAAAAGAACTAACACAAAAGCCGTAGTTAAAATGCACTTTTGAAGACTATAAAAATTGAGTTTTGTTAGAAAACTTTATAATCAGTCATTTTCACATGGGAACGAGAATACATCCTTCCAAACTGGTGGAAATGCACTTGAATCTTCAGGAGATATTAAGAACAACAAAACAGACAATACTATTCTTTACTTAGTATCTGTTCATTTTGATTAGCTTCTTTTACCAACATTGTCTACCCACACATCATTTTAGGCAAACTTGGAATACACGTTCTAATTCTTCACACACTAAATGTGACATTTTTGTTTGTTTGTTTCTTTGTTTTGGGTACTGGGGATTGAACTCAGCCCTTGCACTTTTGAGGCGGGCTGCAGAACCATTGAGCCAAATCCCCAGCCCTAAATGTGACATTTTTGACACCAGAATCCGTTCAGAAATTAATTTGACTGTAACCTTTTATAAGTTACATTTGTTTGTATTTTTGAAGGGTCAGGCCTCCCTAGGAACATGTCAAAGCAAAGAAGCAAGAAATACTCTAAAATGGAAAACAACTTTATGCATTCTTAGAGATAATGTTGAATGGCTATTTTCAAAGTTAGTTGTAAAAAGTTTACAGACTGCCTTAAGTGCTGTCACGTTTAACGAAGTATCAATTTGCTTAAAACTGTGGATATTTTAATTTTAAATGACGAAACAACGCAAAATGAAACCGAGTGACAGGAGCAGACAGGATTTCCACACCCGATGAGTAAGACAAAAGTCTGTAATGGAATTGTAGGCTATGAGGGGTTTTCACCCTCGCTGGAGAGGAGGATCCTATCCTAAAGCTAGGAGAAGGGAATGCGCTTGCGAGCTGCCCCAAACTGACGTTTCCGCTGTAGACTGCGGAAGTCTTAGGCCCAGCTGTTTTCTAAGCAAGCCTTATGCGCTGTGCGCTAGCGGCGAAGGTAGGCGAGCAGGAGCGCGAGCCTTGCTGGGCTCAGAGCGCACCTAGCGTGGCGCCAGTTCCAGGGTCGGAAGAAGCCGGGTTCGCAACGCTTTTCCCTGCAGTAGCCCCAGGGCAGTCTTTGGCTAGAGCTTCAATCGTCCGCGTGCTGGCTGCAAACCAAGAGGGGACTAAATTCCAGACGCTCTGTGGGAAAGAGCCAACCCAGTAACTTCCGTTGACTTTTTTTCCTGGGAGCCCCCAGGCCCTGGGTCGCCCCAAGAGAGCCTGTTCCCAGCCCGGAGGGGCACACAACGTCCTCGCCAAGGTTCTGTAGCTCCAAAACTGTATGGGGTAAATAGGATTTTGTCGTGATGTTTCCACGACAATATCAATAAGGATGGTTAAAAAGATTTGTGCTCATCTGGTGGCCAGCGAGCGTCCAGTCCGTTGTATAACTGATGAAGCAGAAACAGTCACGGGTTCCTCGATTTTCTTTTTCCTTTCTGACATTTCAGATTGCTCCCACCGCCTTCGCACTGAGCTACGTCCTCAACCCCCTTTTAGATTTTGGAACAGAGTCTCTCTAAACTGCTAAATTGCCCAGGTTGGGCTCAACCTTGCCACCTTCCTGCCTCGGCCTCCCACAGTGCTGAAATTACGTGCGCCACCACGCCAGGCTGCTACGAGTTTTGGTCCCCTAGTGGGGATCCTCTCCAGCAGCCTGGTTCAGCGTACCCCTAACCTCCTCCGGATCCACTGACCAGGACTTTCCGGCAGAGCCAGGACCTAGGGGACACGCGGAGCAGCGAGGAGCAGCGACAGCCGGAGCCGGGTATGGGCTTGGCCCTAACGAGGAGGCGCGGGCGCGGGGACGGGGTTCCCACTTGCGGTCCCCACGCACTCTCTCCTGGAGACTTAACTGGAAAAGCTCTGCTTCCAACACCTTGATCAAGCCCTGGCCACACCACAAAGGCCTTTGAGGAGGTGAGTTAGTTTAAAGGAAAATTCCCGCCTGCGGTCGGCCCTCTGCGCTTCTGTCTCCGCGCGCTCCGGGGCTCGGCTCCCCTCCCTCTGAGGCTTGGGCGGGGCCGCGGGGGCCGTATCTCTTTAAAGCGAGGCTGGAGGGGCTGCGGCTCGGGCGGTGGACTCGGCTCAGCACGGAGACCGGGGACAGGGC